ACGAGAGCGCTTCTTGTGTTAGCAACCATTTCGCATCCGATATTTCATGTGCTTCCACACTTGGTATCGTCGTGCGTTCCGCCGGACTCAACAACACATCCTGAAAAGTAAGCAAGTTTTTTGGAAAGGTGCCAGAGAATAACCGGACATTTTCGATGGAAAATTAGCTGCAAAAAAAGAGAAAGTAATCGATTTTCAATTCTACACAAGTTACGGGAAATACTTACGGTGATATCATCGCGTGGGAAGAGAAGCAACTCGCGTTGACTGACATTCTCTAGCACTGCACTGTTTTCGGTGAGAAACTTCTCATAATCAAGCGGTTCGGCAAGCGGACATTTACGCTACAACAGTACAGATAAGTGAGAAAATACGCCTAGAAAATAATATGTTTTAAATGAATATAAAATTTTACATTTATTTGCGATGGGGGACAAAAACCGCGGAAAGCAAGGACGAGGACGGGGGAGAAAGAAAGGTGGAGAACCGGAAAAATAAAAAGGAAAATAGAAAAAAAGGAAATTGCGTCTTCTTTTTTTCCGGGTTCGCTGTGAAGCCAAAATCGCAACCAACGAGCGGACAAGTTAGTCAACAGTAAGCAAAACTTTATCAAAGGAGTGCTCAAAAATTACCCGAAAAATGTATTTTTCTATGAAGCAAGATTTTATGAAGTAGGCCTAAAAGACTGCCAAAAAGACGCAAGAATTTTTACCACACAGAATCAGAGTTAATCAGAAAGGATGAAAATTTTGTTTTACTCAAAAAAAATTGGGTTGGCTACAAAATTACTTCAGAAGACGCTAAAAATTCATGTGCAAGAGCATCAAAATCATCCGAAATAAGCCGAATTCGGCCAAAAACTAGCAGATCAAAACTGCTAAAAACTGACACTAAAATACTTAGAAATAAATCACCAAACAACAAAAACAAGGAAAAAATGGACAAAATTTGAATTTTAGCAGAACGGAGAATCCCCTCATACTCAAACAGCGTCTCTTTCATCCCGAAGCGGCAGCGCTGAAGTGGAAAAGTTTCATTTTCTGGAAATATTCGTAATAAATAGTAACGCGCACCAGACTAACCGATGCGATCATGCGTTTTGTGCAATTTAGCCCATCGAACGACTGCTTATTAATGATTTTCACGGTTTTGTACTTTAATCTATGCAAAAATAGTTCGAACATTGGAAAACAGCTAAAAATTTCACACACCAGCGCATGAAAGCTGAATTCGAAACCTTGAAGGGCGAATATCTCTTCGTGATTCTCCAGTTAATAGTTCACCCGTCAAAATTTTCACGAGGCCGTCGGTGATATTAAAGAGCGCGGGAACGCTGAATTTGAATGGGCAAGGTTGAGCGTGAGCAGGGGGTCATTACCCTAAAATTTCAGCCTCCTAAACTTCGTAGTTACTGAGATATTAATTTACCCGTAAAAAACTTTCCCGGAACCGTACA